AAATTTTGACAGTACTATCAACAGTGATATATATTTATATATATATTATAAAAATTCAACAATAGCTAAGAAATTGAGATCATAATTGTGCCAAAAGTGATACAAGTATATAATAAGGTTTTTTAAATTTAGATATTTTTGTAGTGTAACCTAACTAAAAGTTAATAGTATGATATCTAATTTGATAATTTAATATTAGAAATACTCTAATAATTGTCAAATTTTGACAGTACTATCAACAGTGATATATATATATATATATATAAATTCAACAATTGAGATCACAATTGTGCCAAAAGTGAAACAAGTATATAATAAGGTTTTTTAAATTTAGATATTTTTGTAGGGTAAGACCATCTCCAACGATTCATCAAACCCAGCATCAAATTTAAAATTTGGTGAAAAGGTTATTGTTTGATGCTCCAACGGTTGGACCAAATCGATATCAAAATGAGATTTCACCAAACATTCCATCAAACTGAGAACAGGCGAAGCATTTCACCAAATCATTGTTACTGACCGTTGGGGTGATACAAACCGGTCGACCAACCGGTAGACCGGCCGGTTGACCAACCGGTCAACCAGTAAAAGATTCAAACAGTTCAAAAACAGTTCCAAAAAAAAAAAATTTCCTAACCGGTCAACCGGCCGATCGACCACTCGGTCGTCCCGAAAAAAGTTTAGAAAGTTCAACAAAAACGGTTCAGACAATTAAAAAAAAAAAAAAAAATTCTTCTCACCGGTCGACCAGTCGGTTGTCCCGGGACAGATTTGGTGAAAGGTGACCCATTGAAGCATCTGGTACCAGATTTGGTGAAATGAGTCATTTTTGACTCAGATTTAATGCAAAATCTGATTCACCGTTGGAGATGCTCTAACCTAACTAAAAGTTAATAGTATGATATCTAATTTGATAATTTAATATTAGAAATACTCTAATAAAGATCAAATTTTAATATTACTATCAACAGTGAGATATATATATATATATATATTATAAAAATTTAACAATAGCTGAGAAATTGAGATTATAATTGTGCCAAAAGTGATACAAGTATATAATAAGGTTTTCTAAATTTAGATATTTTTGTAGTGTAACCTAACTAAAAGTTAATTGTATGATATCTATTTGATTGGAGTTGTTTGGGGTGTCCTAAATAAGTGTACTTTTTGTCTTTTTAGATTAAAAAATTGAGGAAGAAAATATAGATGTTTGGGTTAATTTTTTGACTTTTTATGGAAAAATTTGTAATAAAAAATTGGAAAAATTAATTTGCAGAGAAAAATTAGGATTGAGAGTTGTGCAGCCGTAATTGTTGACTTTTGAGGAATAGTGTTAACTTTTTAACTTTTTGAGTAATTTTTTAATTTTTTTACAATATGTCAAACTTAATATTAGAAATACTCTAATAAGGTTAAATATAGTAAGAATAAAAAAAATAATGAATAGATAGAACCTGTAAACAAACGCAACCACAAATATTTGTTTTTGGCAACACACAGGTCGATGTGGTTGCATTGACAGCTATACTTTTGTCTGTATCCTATTTTTGTCCTTTTCCTCACAAAAAGCATGGTTTTGCTTTAGAAAGCAAATTGCTTTTTAAAAGAATTTTCCTTTAATTTCTATAATTTTAATTTAAATAATTTGATCTTTATACTTTAAGTCTAATTTTAATTTATTAAATTAGTTTAAATTTCTGTTAATTTTGTCTACATATATATCTTAAAAAATTTACAAGTGTTTCAAAATTATAAATTTTAATATCTAATTTGAACAAAAGAATAAAATTAAAATTACATTTAAATTGTAAAAACTAAATTATTCAATTTGAAACTATATTTATGATTTTCAAAACACATTTTTCACATATTATAATATTTATTAATAAATTATTTTTTATTTATTATAAAAGGACGCATAAAAATAAAAAAAATAA